TCCTCCCACCTGATGAATGGTCCTCATCCGAAAAGGACCGGTTGTGGGGAGCACTTCTGAGATTACGTCTTGTTGTAACTCAGTATTTCAATGCAGTGGGTAGTTGGCCCACTGCATCGGCTACGTCGTTCGCCTACAGACCTGGTGTTATGGTCTGCGTTTCCCGCGATGCGCCGCTTGGAGGCCACGTAGCAAGCACCGCTACGTGGTGCTTGCTTATTATTATTATTATTATTATTATTATTATTATTATTATTATTATTATTATTAGTCTATAAATATAATAAACTATTTTATCATAATTAAAGTTGAAAGATTTGTTACTTTTTCAATTTTATTAGAAAAAATTTGAGGTCACGTGAACCACTCTCTATATAATCAATGTAATCATAATTAGATATAATAGTTGTTAATTTTAAATACTAATATATAAACTTTTTTTAAGGTTGTATTACAAGAGTCAAAGCAGATGAAAATAATAAATTTGAAGCTTTATATTTTACGAACTCTGAGATGCAAAAATCAATTACCAATTGGCCGGAAATTTTATTCATAGATGGTACCTACAAGCTATTTAATTTAAGATACACACTTTATTCATTTGTCGTGCAAAATGGCAATGGAAGGGGTGAAATCGGCGGTGCAGCAATAACTGCATCTGAAAAGGCAAACGTATTGGAGTGGATCGCAAGAAGCTTTCGAGAAACTAATAGTAAAGCTAGTGAAAATACAAAATGTATAATGACCGATAAGGATTTAACGGAAAGAAAAGCTTTCGCAGCCGTTTTTCCAGACGTTAAATTCTTATGCTTATTTCACACTTTGAAAAGTTTTGACAGACAATTGAAACTTTTAAAAGTAGATCATGAAGTAAGGGGCAGATGTTTTAAATTATTACGTGAATTAGCATATGCCAAGTGGGAAAGCCGATATAATGCAGTTTATGAGAAATTTATCAACTCGGCTCCAAAGTCTGTGATTGACTATTTTAACATCAACTGGCATAAAAACCGCAATGAATGGACACTATTCGGAATGGCTGAGGTTGACTATGGAAGTGTAACAAATAATTTGGTCGAAAGTCTTAATAAACAGGTTAAAACGTTATGTGAATACTTTTCAACTTTATACGAATTTGGAATTAATTTTTTCGAATTAATCCGTTCATCGAAACAGGAAACGAGTTTGTTATGTGCCGCAGATGGTTTAAAAAAACTTAACATTAACCAGGACTTAGATGAGTTTATGGGTGATTATGCAGCCATATTAACAAAAATAGCTTTCAAACAGCTTACTGAAGAATTAAAAAAAATTAAAAACATCAGAATAATTGAAAGCTGCGATTATCAAAAAACTTGTAAAATCATGATTAATGACCACCCACATACTTCTTCATCAAGTGATTGTATTTGTTATTTCCGGCGCAGCTGGAAATTACCCTGTGCACACATACTAGCAGTAAGGAAACATTTTAATTTCAACCTTTTTTGCCCTGAATTATGCGATAAAAAGTGGTTGAAATGTGAAAACACAAACAATATTGATTTAAGAACAACTTTTTCATTCGGTTCAGGAGACAATGCTGATATGGATGAACTGCCAAACGATGATGCCGCTTCAGCTTTATCTTGCCCTGAAAAAGTGGTAATTGCTCAAAAATGTTGCAATGACATTGCTCAAATTATTATACAATCGAGCGATTCCGACTTTAAAGCTCAATGTGAATTTTTAAAATCTTTAAAAGCAAACTGGAGCCAGAAATGTCCAGTGCAATCAGTTCTAGAAAAAAATGAAAACAATGATCGCTTATTAGGAGACTTAAAAAACCATTCTCGTATTGTTGATAAAAGTAATTCTGATTATGGAAATCCAATTTTATCGTCACCTATTAAATTAAAAGGTCGTCCAAAAAATGCAATGAAGACAACATCCGGCTATTTTTGTCGACGAAGGTTAAAGAGTCACGAATGAAATTAATGAGTATATTAAACGATTCGGTGCACCATATATCAATGGTATATTGTATCAATAATATATTATTGTGATTGTTCGAAGCAATAATAATTTTAGTTTGATAAATATATTTATCTAAGTAACATACATATTTTTAAGTATAATAATTTTAAATAACAAAAAATAAACAATAATTTAAAAATATCTTCATTACTTCTTCCAGTTTTTAGACATTCCCCAGCCTTTTCATCTCGAAACCTACTTAAGGCTATCTTAAGATCATAATTAAATGCACGGATCATCAATGATCTGTATGAAAACTAACTGAACTTTGGAAGTACTTAGCTGATTCTAGCTTTCTAGTAAGGCTCGCAGTTTAGCATGAAGCTCGTGAAAATCTTTCATTATATTTTCTTAATTTCTACGTGGCAAGCCTTTATTGTATTATCGCGAAAATGACAGAAATTTGGTTATTAGAATTTATTGAATAGGCAAGAGCAAAAAGAAATTATTCAATCGAAACAGGAAGAAACAAACTGCGGTCTCAATACTGCTTGACATAGCACAGCGTTTTCCATCTGCTCGCAGTACTCGTTCACATTATTGGAACTTCGACTAATCAAAATTATAAATCGATAAAATTTAAAAACATTTAGTTGGTAGAAAAATCACATCGTGATTCATGTTATCTTAAAAATTAATCATGATAGAATTGAGCCTTTACCGGATTAATGTTGCTTCAAGCTATGTATATCTGTGATTATAACTTGCAGTAACGGATATCCGTGACCAAGACTTACAGTACCGGATATATCCGTGGTCAAGACTTACAGCAACGGATATCTGTGATTATAACTTGCAGTAACGGATATCCGTGACCAAGACTTACAGTACCGGATATATCCGTGGTCAAGACTTACAGCAACGGATATCTGTGATTATAACTTGCAGTAACGGATATCCGTGACCAAGACTTATAATACCGGATATATCCGTGACCAAGACTTACAGCACCGGATATATCCGTGGTCAAGACTTACAGCAATGGATATCTGTGATTATAACTTGCAATAACGGGTATCACTGATTATGATGATAAAAATTCAACTTGAACTAGAAATTAGAATACGTGCCCCACATGCGCTTTTATTTTAATTAATGATGAATCGTGGCCCTTTTTTTGCGAGTTTTGACTTTCATGAATCTTTATTTAGAGATAAGACGACCTGGTGAACTTCGTATCACCTACATAAATTTGTATTTCTCACCGTTTAATCTTTCGTTGAATAATTATGTCCGTGATAGGGAGCCAAAACGGGCTCATTAAGGAAAGGAAGGCAGAAAACTATAACATCCAATTTCGTTTAGTAACAATTGTGAATTTTATTAAATTTTAAATTTTAGTCAAAAGTATATTTGCATTATCTACTGTTAGTTCAAGATCTGTCATTGGTATCTGCGTTCGTAGATGTAAGTAACAAATTTTACAAAAAATTCTTCACCAAACAATCATCGTGTTCGTCATATAAAACTTGCCCTTTAAACAAAATAAGTATAATAAGTAGAGTGTTAATAACATTTTCTACAAAATTCCATAAATAATTAAAAATAATAAATAATTCCTTTTCTTTCCATTAGCGTTGTAGCAACATTTATGCATAATATATATCCTTTTTAAAATTCCGTGACACCAGAAACATTTGGCACATCTAGAAATGCATTTTCAGAAGCTGATGTCGCAGGTCCATCGTCTAATTGAATTACTTGAGATGCTAATTAGTCAGCATCATCATCCCTAATCAATAAAAAAAAAAAACAATCATTGAAAAATAGAGTGTTATTTTTAATTATAAAAACAACATAAAGTAATGAATGGTTATTTATAAATTAAATATTGTGCAATCAAGAGTACTTTACAAAGCCCATGCAAGTGGATACGATTTAATCGCAGTGTACAGCTATTTAAGCACCTCTCGGAGAAAGTATCACCGTCAATGAGCTCTGAGAGATTTTCTATAAACTGAGAGCATGACATTTTTCTACTCAAGTTTTGACCATGTAAATCTGTATTATATTTTAACATTAAAAAATAAATAATTATTCCATTTCATTATTAAAATAGTAATATAATTCTCAAACAAATACTTTTTGCTGAGATGTCTCAAAATATCAGACTTTTTGAATCCATCAACTGAGTATAATCTCTCAGCCAGTCTAACAGCTGACGGTAGATCTACAGCTTTAGGGCTATACTGGAAACTATGAAGGCTTATAATTAAGATGGGTATCGAACTTGGGTAGACGTATTTCATACAAAGTAAATGCTATATGAAATTAAATCATCATTCATAAGTTTCATTCTGAATACCGCGGGCTTCAGAATATGGTTCTATTTAAAAATAGATTTTGAATTTTTATCATAGATGAAAAGTGTGCAAATAATTCAAACAATTAAAAATTTTAATGAGTTATTAAATTAAAAAAAATGTATTTGGATTTATTTTGAAGATTACCCAACTTTTCTGCCGTATACAACAGTAAAAGAAAGCCAAGAAACTTCGGAGCGTCAACACTGCCAATGAACCGAATATTAGTAATACCAATCAGATACGCCCAATTAAAAGAGATTAATCCTTACAAGTAATTGTTTAATGATCTAACTATTGAATTCAGTTGCTAACAATGATAATTTTATTAATTTCCATAATAATAGTAATAGTAATAATAGAAGTGATATCGGTATATCATATTGTTACAGTGACAATAATATAGCATGAATAAAATTTTTAAAAATATATATTAAAAAAAAAAACAATATTAGAAATTAGTAATTTGGCAATGTCAGGGGCGGCACTCATTGCAAAACCACTCGGTATTTAATGCTGAGAAGTTCTCCGGAATAATTTGGCATTGGTAATGAAACCAATACCAGCAGCCGTCACACATAATACTGTTATGTACTTTTTCATCGATTTTAGTTTTACATGATCTACAGGACCATGACCCTTTTTTATTTTTTTTTTTTTTCACGGCGATTTTTAAAGCTCTCAGGGCTGATGCTTCAAAATAATTTGCAAGGGTAGAAAGATCTTCAAACACATAGGGCACCGCGTCGGATAAGGGATCTAAATTGATTAAATCTCTTTTTTTAATTATTATTTTTTGGCCCAAAACGCCAGCAACTAAGTCTTCGGAGACAATATGAAGTAAAAACTGTCTCAGTTTTTCATTCGAACATAAATTAGTGGTTGCAGTATTTTTTTTAGGAGCTGGTAAAAGCTCATTAGGATCAGGCAACGGAGGATCATTGACAGACTTGTTTTTACTCAAGTTATTTGTCGCTTCAACTGCAGATTCCGGTTCAACAGCAAGTAAGTCAATCTTAGAAGCAGCAGCAATTTCTTCCAGAGTTCCAGTGTTTTCGACTGAGCTACCAATATTTAATTGAAGAGCTGGTACATCCTCATCAGGATCAGGCAACGGAGGATCATTGACAGACTTGTTTTTACTCAAGTTATTTGTCGCTTCAACTGCAGATTCCGGTTCAACAGCAAGTAAGTCAATCTTAAAAGCAGCAGCAATTTCTTCCAGAGTTCCAGTGTTTTCGACTGAGCTACCAATATTTAATTGAAGATCTGGTACATCCTCATCAGGATCAGGCAACGGAGGATCATTGACAGACTTTTCTTGACTTAAAATATTTGATGCCTCAACTACAGATTCTGTTTCAACATCATCAAGTAAGTCAATCTTAGAAGCACCAGCAATTTCCTCAAGAGTTTCAGTGTTTTCGACTGAGCGACCAATATTGAATGGAAGAGCTGGTACATCTTCATCAGGATCAGGCAACGAAGGATCATTGTCAGACTTTTCTTGACTTAAAATATTTGATGCCTCAACTACAGATTCTGTTTCAACATCATCAAGTAAGTCAATCTTAGAAGCACCAGCAATTTCCTCAAGAGTTTCAGTAGTAAGTCGAGTTTCATTAGCTCTCGGTATGTTAGGCAGAGTTTTTAAATATTTTAAATGTTGATAACCAACTGGATGCCTTTTCTTTATTTTCTTTTTGCCTCGGCTTGAGCTTGGCTGCATATTAATTGAATCTGTTAAACTCAAATCCTCATTCTCGAACACTATCGGCAACGTCTCAATATTAATAATTTCTTCATTTTCAGCAGATGTTTCTCTTATGTTTATATCAGTACTCTTACCTAAAGTTCTATCAGTTTTATCTTCATCATCTACATTTCGAATATCATTATACAAAACCTCTAATAGTTCTATTTTTTTTATAGCTGATAGACCCTTGATTTAATAGGTTTTCATGTATTTTGTTTAATAAATCTTCGGCTTTTAACTTTCTTTCTATTTGGTCGTCTTCTATTTGGTCCTCTGCTATTTGGTCCTCTGCTATTTGGTCGTCTTCTATTTGGTCCACTGCTGATTTTTTTTTCCTCAATCACTGAATCGTGATTATGCATACAATCCCAGTTCCTTACAACAATACGCTTGTCCCTTACACGGAATCGAGCAATTAAATTAACTGGACATTCAGTTTTTTTAGAGCTATGGACAGAAATTTTCATTATTAATTTAAAAATTTTTAAAATATAATTCTATTATCTTATAAGTATAATTCCACAATATATCAGACCATTTTCAAAATTTGTAAATAAATAAATAAACCAAATCTACAGAAAGTATATATGTGAAGAAACTATTCAACTATTAATAGTGTTCAATTTTTTGATTTTTTTAATTTTATTTCAACTCAACGAACGAAAAAACTGCATTTTCTAATTTATAGAGAACAAGAAGTTAAGGATAAATGCACGTATAAGCACTTTCAGCTTGAATACAATCGGAAAAGGTTTTCATATTTTTTGAAAGTATTATTTCATTTCTTTATCTTGATTTATTGACTATTTGTTTTATCGATTATTTTTAGACATATCAAATTAGGATTGATACTTACTCAACAGTTCGATGCCCATGTCCTTTTGAGACAAATGTTCCACTTTGGCTACATAACAATGTTCAGTCATACATCTGGATTGGACCGAAATTTTTTTTACTCTTGAAGATTGTAGTTGTAAATCAGTAATTATTTATGTTTGCAATTCTATACCTAACTTAGCTTCAGGAATCGCAAGAATTCCTACATCTTCAGATAATTTTTTTGCGACTTGGACCATGTGTCTTGAACTATTCATCATATCACAAATTTTTCGTTCACTCCATCTTGATGGTAATATAGTCAGGATTCTAATTTTTTCCGCTGTTGAACAATTCTGGTCATTAAACTTAGCTTTTAAACGCTCGATTATATCCTGAAAATCTGCTAAATTGACATCTAGATCTGACAGACCATTATCATCAAGACCAAAAAGTTTTGTTAGGTTGCGAGTGATTTGGTTGACTTTACGATCCAAATAAACTCCATCTCGCAATTTTTTCTTTAAAACTGGTGATTCATTCAAAAGACGTAAAGCTTGATTCACTACTGGCAACTGAGTTTCAATACTAACTTCAGATGCAGAACTTGATTGAACCGGTTGCGATTGAAAATTGTCGGAAGAAAATGATAAAGATTCTGAAATAATAACGTACATTTTAATATTCAAAGTATAAATAAAAACTGGGGACATTAGTTAGTGAAATAAATGCTTTTTTTCTTACCAAAAGATTGTAGTAGTGCAGTAGCTTGACTTGCATGTCCTAAAGATAAATTACATGAACCTTCACAACTGTCACCTTGTCTTTCAGAATTTTCATCATCACTACTAACGTTGACTTCACAAGCAATATCATCGTCAACGTTTTGATTATTGTCAACATTATCAACATTGTCACCAACCGATTTTGAATGTTTTGCAGATGCGTACACTTTCATTTTACAATCAATGCATAAGACATAATCACCATACATGTTTAGTTCTTTTTTAATAAAGTCATTGGCTTTTCTTAAATTCCTTGTTTTTAAATGGTTTGCTAGGTTATATGGATTGAAACAGCGGTCGAATCGTGGAGTAGTCGCCATTATTGTTTAATTTTGTTGGTAATTATTTTGAGTATGGCAATTAATGGAGAAAATATAGTTTTTTAGAATGATAAAAACTAAATAAGTGGTATTTAACTTAGAATTATTGATGGTAAACCATACGTTAGGTTATAATTGTTATTAGTGAAGATGAGCTAAGCAAGAAAATATTCTTTAACTTAATATTATTTCTGAAGATGGCACTTTATCAGTTTTTTTTTAAGAAGAGGATTCATAGGTGGCGCAAACTATCATTTCTCGAAGAAGTTTAGAATAATTTGAAAATAGAGTTGGAGCTTTGCAAGAATTAAAAATTTAAAAAGCAATTCTGAGAAGCTTACCTGGTTAACTTTTAGTTCTATATTTTTTTGTGTTTTTCAATTTTCTTTGTTTTTAAAAAAAATTATTTTTCTCGATGATTAACATGTTCAACTTTTGGTTCTATACTTTTTTCTTGTTTTTTGAGGGTTCCCGGAAATTTTTGGACCGGTGTTATGAAAAATAAGATTAAAAAAAAAAATTTTTTTTTCAATTGAAAAAAAAAATAGAAATCGAAAAAACACCCTTCTGAAAATTTCAGGATATTTGTAGAAAATGTCAAAGTTTTATATGAAAAAAAGAAAAAAGGAATTAAAAATGTTATTCATCAAGAAATTCGGAGTTTTTTCGGAAAATTTAAAAAATAACGATGAAGATAGGTTCGAATAATTTTTTTATATTTTTTTCCAAAAAGAACATTTGATAACAAAAATTTTGAAGAAAAAAAACGTCCCGATAAGCCAATTTTTGAAAAAGTTATGGCAATTTAAAAATAAAAAAGCAGTTTTTTTGAAAAATTCATAACTTTTTTTTGTTAATTTTATTTATCAAAAAAATTATTTTTAAAAAATTGCATTTTTTATTTTTTTAAATTTCTACTTGTCAATTTTTTTTTTCTAATTTTTTTTTGCCAGAATTTATTAGCAATAAAATTTTTAAAATTATTAAATATACGTATATATATATATATACAGTCTTCTGGCTTTGTTATTTTGTAAATTGTACATGAATGAAACTGAATTACCTAACCATTCGCATTCGGTGGCCTACAATTATTCTAAAGAATTAAAAAAAAAAATTTAACTTAATTTATGCATTTTTCGCAAGTTATAGTGTTTTCAGAGTTTCATACATGACGGACAGGAAAATTTTTTGACCTATTTCAAGGTTTTTTTGCGTTTCTAGTAGACTAAATTAATTTTTGGAAAGTGTCAAATTAATTTCCATTAAATTATCTTGATAATAGTATGCAAAATATCGGTGACCGTCTCTTTTTTCTCATGCAAAAATTTCTCGTGACAAAAATTGTCAGCAATAATTTCTTGTACAATATTTTTTCACACAAAAACCATGATAACAGGGCTATGTTAATGTTTTTTTTTTTTGAAATAATTGTAATTAATTGTAAATAATTGTGAAAAATTTTTGCTGAGAAATTTTAGCGGGATTAATAAAGCCGGGGAGCCAAATATAATTGGCTGAAATAATATTTCGGTGATATATGCCGTCAACGTCAAAGAAGTTTTACTTCAATCGCGCGTAAAGGTTACACGCACACACTTTTTCTTTTTTTTTAGTTTTAAACAAATTTAAACTTATTTAAAATAAAATAGTTTACAAAAATTATACTGAAACATTTTTTTTTTGTAATTTTTAGACGTTTTTTTTTACTTCCCGCTAAGAAAATCAAAGATTTTCAAAAATCGAAGATTTTCAAAAATCGGGAAATTATTGTTTTCACCCTGTTCTACGATAATCGAGTTTTCATCAGATCTCGACGTTTGAAGGTCACAGGGAGCTTCCCTGACTATCCCCGCGAGGTTGTCACTATGTCTGTATGTATGTGTTTTTTTTTTTTTTTTTTTTCTATAGAGGAGGTAAAATACATTTACGTATGCCAGGACTTGGTGTTGGTGCCAGGACTAGGTGTTAGTGCCTGGGTATGTCGGACTCAGAAGTCAATAGTATTTAGCAACAATACCGACTAAACATCCTCCTCTCTCCTTCCCCATAGATGACACAGGGAATACTGGATCGGGACCGCGTTAGCATTACTTCGATCCAGTCCATGTTGTGTCTCACGACACCTACTTATTGTTACTACTGGTTTCTAATCGCTTTCTGCGATTTTTTCTTTTAAAAGGCGCTGCGCGTAGGCTGCGACAGCTGACCAGTTTTCTTCTTTTTTGATCATGCAGGTTACCAAGCTCTCAGGGGAGAGCGTTGTGCCTATTGTTTCTTCGGTGCTGATTCTGTCCTCCTTCCACCGATCACACTCAAAAAACCTGTGCTCGGCGTTGTCAATTTTGTCTGGGCAGAATTTGCACGATGGTGTGCTGTGCAAACCCATCTTGAAGAGATAGGCATTGAACCGCCCATGTCCCGTCAATAGCTGGGTCAGGAAGAAGTCCGTGTCCCCGTGCTTTCGAAAAAGCCAGACGTTAATGTTTGGGATCAGGCGCGTTGTCCATCTGCCGGTCTCTCCCGATGTCGATCGGTCCTGCCACTCTTGCTAGGTTTCCGCCTTTATCTTCGTTCTTGCGTCCTTCATGTTTTTGTCACTATCTTTAGCGTCATAGAATATAGTAGGGGTGTGCGAATAGTGTTCGAATCGAATCGAATCGAATAGTACTATTCGATTCGACATTCGAGCCGAATATTCGAATAATTCGAATAGTTCGAATAATTCGAATAATCCGGATAATTCAAACAGTCGTTTTCTGTTGATAAATTAACTAATTTTCGTGGAGAAATTACTTTGCTTTATTTTAATTAACCAAATGAAGTCTTCATGATTATTTGATAGTAAAATCTGCTTATTATTTGAAATAAATATTTCTTGGTGTACTCGGACCCCCCACCTCAGGGCCCCTCGCCATTTTGACATTTCTCCGGGAAAATTTGTTTTTTCTAAAATGAGATCTACGACACGATGGACCAGATATTGAAGACAATTTCGTTGTTGTCGCTTTTCGCTGCTATGGCAACCACTACGGCAACGATTATCATGGCAACAGTTGAATATTAATGGATAAAATTTATAAAAATATTGATTAATTGAATTGTTAATAGTAAAAATTTTGACAGAAGCGTATTTAAATAAAGGTTGCAATGAGCGTAACATCAGGATGAGCTTGTGTCTTCAAAAATGTCAATAATTAAGAAATAACGTTGTATTTTGCCAATCCTGGAGTTACACTTATCGATACCTTTCATTCGAATACCCACATGAATTTTTCATATATTTTATATATTTTGCAAATATGAAAAATATCAAATGTATAAAATATGTAGAAAAGTTCGTGTGGGTACTCAAATGAAAGGTCTCGATGAGCGTAACATCAAGATGAGCCTATATCTAAAAAAAATGTCAATGACAAAGAAACGACTTTGTAGAAACGAGACCTTTCATTTGAATACCCACGCAAATTTTTCCATGTATTGTATACATATGATATTTGTCATATTTGCGAAACATATAAAATATATATGAAAAATCGTGTGCGTACTCAAATGAAAGGTCTCGATGAGCGTAACATCAGGATGAACTTATGTCCGAAAAAATGTCATTGATTAAGATATGACGTTGTACTTATTTTGTCCACTGATGATATTTTTAACGATATAAGCTCATCCAAGAGTTACACTTATCGAGACCTTTTGTTTGAATATCAACACGAATTTTTTAAATATTTCACAAATATGAGAAATATCTTATGAACAAAATGCATAAAAAAAATTGAGTGCGTACTCAAATAAAAGGTCTCAATGAAAGTAACATAAGGATGAACTTATATCTTAAAAAATAACTAAGATATGACGGTGTATTTTATTCACTGATGATATTTTCAACTATGTAAGCTCATTTTGATTTTACACTTATCGAGTTTACACGATGAATTGTCAAATGATTTTTCGAATGAAAGATTCGAGTTTACACGAATCTTTCATTTATTATGTATGTTTCACAAATATGAATGTCGTACATGAGCACAGAAAAAAAAAAAATTTTGCGGAAATGAATCACCCTAATATATATGGGGCATTCCACGCCAAATCGACCACTTTTGACCCTGACCCCTGTAACGGAGTACACGGAGCCTTCTTTACCCAGAGAAGGTTTCCGATCCGTGTGAGTTAGTTATCGACTGATTCCCCAAAGCACTGTGCTCCGAAGTACTCGCGCCTCTAGCTGTAAGTTAGTGAGTAAGTCCACAAGAGAGAAGCGCCGGCGCGGAGAGTGAGTGGGGAAGACGGAGTGAAGAAAGAAACGCACCGACAAAGCCGAGAAGATTCATTGTGACCAAGTCGCCAAACCGTACAGATACGCAAATTTAGTAAAACACAATCAAGCAGGTAATTATTTCTTTGTCGCCTTTCGTACAGTGGAAGGAAGCGATTAAATCTATTAATTTATCGCTTGCTAGACCTTCAGCCAGCTTGCGCAAATTGATTTTAAATTGTAACAATTTCTAATGCTTAATTGCGGTTTCAGATTTATAAAATATTCGGAGAACGAGTAACGTTGACCGGGGTCTCGCTAGTAGTGTGTCTGGGGGTCTGAATCCGCCGGTAAAACAGATTTGTGGGTCCGTGTCCAGGCTAAGTACCGCCTGTCGATATGGAGGGGATCTGTTTTGCCGACAGTAGATGTTGCCATGGGTATGAATGGCATGTTTTACCGACATTTTGAGGTTATGGACGAGGTTTTTTATCGACTTGGTTGTAGGTGGCGCTGGTGGTGAATTCTGCCGCCATTTTTGAATTTATCCGCCATTTTTTAAATCTATCTGCCATTTTCCCGCCATTCTTTTAAATCTATCCGCCATTTGAATCCGACATCTCGTGGCTGTGATCCGCTATTTTGAATCCGCCATCTGGTGGCTGCTATCTGAGTCTGAAATCCGCCATTTTGAGTTGTGAATCCGCCATTTTGAACTTGTTATCTGAAATCCGCCATCTGGCGGCTGCTATCCGCCATTTTGAATCTGACTTCCGCCATTTTGAATCTGAATTCAACATTTTGAGGTTAGAAAAAAGCATCCTCAACTATTAACCTGCTTTTAGGCTTGCCATTACAGATCAATAGTTCAGGATTACGCATTTGGGGTATTATATATCCACGTTTTATATATTTAAAATGAAGTTATGACAACTACTTGCGAGAAGGATTTTACGCAGCGCCATCTGGTTGCAGCTTGCATTACTTTTAACTGCGTAGTAGATGATGTCATCTGACAGGTCTGAACCTGTTCAAGGTCACGGTAACTGCGTAGTTCTCTTTGTTCTATACCTAACTGCGTACTAGATGATTCATTCTGTTCTAGAATTTTCTAACTGCGTAGTAGATGACGTCACCAAACAGGTTTGAACTTGTTCAAGGTCGCGTAACTGCGCAGTTTTCTTTGTTCTATTTCTAACTGCGTAGTAAATGACGTCATCAGACAGGTTTGAACCTGTTCAAGGTCGTGTAACTGCGCAGTTCTCTTTGTTTTATTTCTAACTACGTAGAAGATAACGTCATCAAACCGGTTTCTGGGTAGAGGAGTGGGGGTAACTGCGCAGTATTCTCAACCTATATAAGCAGCTCGCCGAGAGCGAACTTCACAAAAACGAAGTACAAGTCTCCAGTGAAACATCTCTCGTGATTAAAAAGTATTCAGTGTTATATAAAATATAGTGAAGTTCAGTGTTGTGAAGTACGCGAGTATAGTGTGCAAAAACTATTGTGTGCATAAACTGTAGTCTAGTGTGCAAAAACTATTGTGTGCACATAAACTGTAGTCTAGTGTGCATAACTGTAGTCCAGTGTGCAAAAACTATTGTGTGCACATAAACTGTAGTCTAGTGTGCATAAACTGTAGTCCAGTGTGTCAAAAACTATCGTGTAAATTCAGTGTGTGTAGTATACATAACCTATAAACAGTGACATAACCTTTAAAAGTGTACATAACCTATAAACAGTGTATATAACCTATAAACAGTGTACATAACCTTAAAAAGTGTACATAACCTATAATATTGTGTAAATAGACAGTAGTGAAGTGATTCTCGTTTCAAAATGGCACAACATAACCTCATCGAGGCTCTCAAAAACTTGGTGGACACTATTGCATTCTCATATGCTGATCTGTTGGGAGAGCAGCTCACTGATGAACATCGTCAAAGGTGTTTACGAGTGTGTGAGGAGACCATTGAATACTTCAATACAATATTACGGGATCCTGGAACAACAATTCAAGTGAGAAGAAGTGTTCAAGCTCACATCAACCAACTCAACTGGTTAGCCGATCAGTTCTCTAGACTCGGTAACCAAGTAGTTGGTGGAGATCTCAACCAAGGAGTCAAATGGCAGAACCTGGAGAATGCTTTCGCTGGTAACATCCAGACTGGATGTGTTATCAACCAGCGCCACAAAGATCCAACATTATTTCTCCAGGCCTCACGGGACATCGTCATCAACAAGGTACAGAGTGTCTTGAGAGATCTAGCAGGGCTGAAAGTGAATGTGGAGTTCTTCTGTACATTCCGGAAACATCAACAAGACATAGAAAAACGAAAATCTTTCATCACCAAAAGTCGTGAGATTCTCCCTGCCACTTCTCTTCAGGATTGGTACACTGAGCATGTGTATGAGAAGCTGAAGCAACGAATTGAAGATTTTGAACATGAGGGTTCCGGATGGAGTCGTCTTGGGCCAACCAGCTTGATGGTGACTATGTCAAGATTCGCACCAACTCAAGTTGGGAACCCACCTTCGTCAGATTGCCGCAGGATATCATCAGGAAGCATGCGGTTACGAACATCCAGAACAATGATGAGTTCTGCTTCCTGTGGTGTGTCAACGCCGCCTTGCATCCACCAGTATTGGTTCCAGCTGACCCTTCAAGTTATCGTCACTTCAGCGTCAGATTAAATTATGAAGGTATTCAATTTCCAGTTAAGCTTAATGACATCCCGAAATTCGAAAAAATGAATGATCTTAGCATTAACGTATATGGTATAGATTCTGAATTCACGGGTAAAAAGTCTGAAAAAAGTACCATTATACCATTATATTTAAGTAACTTCGAGTCAGAAATACCAACGATTCATTTATTAATGATTAAAAAAAGTGTTAATTATACTAATAATTTAGATAATATTGAGTCAGTCTATCACTTTGCATGGATACACAATCTTTCTGGATTAATTAAAAGTCAGATATCTCTAGGTAGACATAGATTATACTTTTGTGATCGTTGTTTGAATCATTTTAAATTTCAAAAATGTTATTTAGAGCACCGAGTAGATTGTTTTAGAACTAACAAAGTCCGCATGGATTTTCCTAGCAAAAAAAAAAATTTTGAAATTTAAAGATTTTAAGTCCAAAGATACTGTACCGTTTGTAGTTTACGCGGATCTTGAATGCACACTCGAACCCCCGGGGGATGATGAAAAGATAGTTCATAAACATGTTCCACACAGTATTGCTTACTATGTACATTGCAGCTATGATAACACACTGTCTAGATTCCAATTAAACCGTTCTCCTGATTGCATCAACTGGTTTGCTAAACAATTACAGTCATTAGCTCTGGACTTTGAATAAATTCTAAAGAATCCTATTAAAATGAAACCCTTAACGAAAGAACAACAAGATAGACACAACCAGGCAACTGTGTGTCATATTTGTGAGAAACCAATCACTTCTACGACAGATAAAGTCTATGATCATTGTCACTTTACCGGTAACTACAGAGATGCTGCTCATAAATCATGCAATGTTAATTATCAGAAATCTACAATTATCCCAGTTGTCTTTCATAATTTATCCAGCTATGACTCACACTTCATAATTAAATCCTTAGCTACAGTATTTGAAGGTGAAATTTCATTACTACCGATCAATAAAGAGCGTTACATTTCTTTCACAAAATCCGTTAAAAATACTTCAGTTTCTTTAAGATTTATTGACTCTTTTAGATTTATGCCCTCCAGTTTAGAAAAATTAGCTTCATACCTTGATGACAAAGACAAACAGATTACGCAACTACACTACCCTGACCCTGACAAATTCAAATTAGCAATACGTAAGGGTGTATTCCCGTATGAGTACATTGACAGTATTGACAGACTAAACGAGAAACAGTTACCTGACCAGAATTCATTTTATTCAAAATTAACAAACTCAACTATTTCCGATGACGATTATGCTTTTGCTCAAGTAGTTTGGAATGAATTTAATAT